TTGATCTATTATAAGATTTATAATATAAAAATTGATTTTGTCAATTTCGTTCCTTTTTCCAGCACCTAGCCCATATTTAAATTTTTTATAATATTATATGAGCTATTATCAAAATTAAAAAAATCTAATTTGCCTTAAAAAATAATCTACGAACTAATCGATGTTATTTATACATATTTTCTAAAAATAAAATTTTAATTTAAAAAAAAACATTTAAATTAAAAAAAACAATTTTATTTTAAAAAAAACATTAATTTTTAAAAAATTAATTTAATTTAAATATATATATATTTAATTTAAAAAAAAAATCAAATTATACGTATAGTACGTAAAAACTAAATTAGAAAAAAACAAAGTTTAACTAAAAAAAAAAAACCAGATAAACCCGACAACATACGATACTGCATTATGCTTTCTGATTGGTTGGTTAGACATTTACAAACTTGATATCTTGCCTTTTGGGTATCGGTGGTAGAGATGGGCATCATGCACCTTATCACTACATGTGCTTAACGTTAATCAACGTTTACACGATTAAGCACCATGCAGTGATAAGATAAGATAAGGTGCATGATGCTCATCTGGTACGTATCAATTTTTTTTTGACCCGTGACTGTGTACGGGTCAAACAGCCTACACAATGCCCACGGAATTAATGTAAGCAGTGACAAACGGTAATTAGCCGAGCCGTTTGCATCATGAGAGTTTATATCATACAGTATAATTTAAAAATTCACACACACCGTGTTTTAAAAGAACCGCACTTAACTATAGAAGACCCTGTGATTTTTGCAGCCGGGTATGAGTCTAATATCGAGTGAATATTTTATACGGCTAATTACGGTAATTAAAGTGATTAGATGGTATTATGACAAAATATGATAATATCTCACTCTCTGGAGATAAGAGTCGAGTAATTTTCTGTCATTTTTGATCTGTCTTATCGAATATTTCTCAATGACCACACTCATCATAATACCTATCTATACCATATATTCCGAATTTTGTATAAATTTACACTTTGCCTGACCAAACATTTTTGGTTAAAAAATACAGTATTTGACACGAGAGAATAAATTATAGAATTAACGCACTTTATTAATCAAACCCTTATTAATATGATTTTCACCGATAGATAGTACCTGAATGTGGTGACAAGAATAATAGATGTATTTTATCATTGCTTGTTGAATAAAAAATTATAAAATGTTAAACCAATAGAGTTATAAAAAACCAAAACAAAAGTTATTTAGTTTTTCTATAGCATGTTTGTCATGTAAGGAGGTTGCATTTTGTCTTGTTTCTAATGGTGTAGGTTGTTTTATGAGAGAAGACATAGTAGAGCCAAGAGAGAGATTTGGAGGGGATATAAATTTAGAAGGGGAATACAAATAATCACGCGGTATGGCACTGACTTCGACAGATTTGGAAATATGATGTATCATATTAAAACTAGCTGGTTGAAAAATAGAAGACTTAACACAATATTGACACTTCAAGTTTGCTCCAGCTGATTGGAAGGTAGACAACAAAATTTGGTCCTTCTTATATGGCTTGTAACGATAATTTGGCCAAATACAAGAATGAACTTTTTTAGCGATGTCAGCAATCTTAAGATAAATTTCTTTATCATCAAACGTCAGCTCTTGCCACAATATACTAGCTAATCTTGAAGTAGATTTGAGTTGAGAAGCCATGTTAAATCCTCGTTCATATATCATTTTGGCATGAAGATCTCTGCGAAAAATAATAAACCCATTTTGGGAACGAGGTGGGGTTATGTAGTGCTTCGGTTTGTTGCTTGGTAGAATAAGGTCGTAAATTGGTAAGAAGATTTTCGATTTGATTTGATTAAGTTCTTCTCTGGTAGTTGTATTATTTACGATATCGTCAAGTGCATATGAATTGAAATTTTGACTATAAATAGGTGAAGTGTATAGGTTGTGAGTGTTGTGAATATGTCCTTGACATGAATATGTGCAAGTTGAGAAAAGCATTTCGTTGCATCAGTAAAGTGAAAAAAAACGGTTCGTAAGGATTTTGAAAATAATAAACTAGAGAAAATATAAATATATTATAATAATGGGGCAATCTTGGGACTTTAAATAAGTAGACAACAGAAAAAGATTCATATTCACTATTGCCCAAATTTCCAATTCTTGTTTAACATAATATGATCCAATCAGAAAAAATAATATTTGTTTTTCGCATCGCATTGATATGTAGACCACAGATTAAGATTATTCTAAAAATCGGGTGATATTCCAAGCTCCAAAAAAAATGAAAACCTCAATAAAAAAACAAGCATGCAATTTATTTAATGATAAGTGATGTAGTTTCCGATTCTTTGGAATAATTTATTAAGTTACACACAAAATGACATAATAATGCTAATATATACGGAATACAATATATACGGTGTTTGCATGTACTACTGTACTAAGTAATTGGTAGGGTGACTAGATTCGTATGGTATGGGGTGTAAAATACCTATTTAAAATCTGTCCTGGTGTTATATATATTCAAGAATTATAGCATATTATATATAACTTGATATGATTTTTAGATTAAGCACTACACCCTCGTACCGTACAATTTTGGTCACCCCATACCATGCTGAACTGCTGTAACATACACGTACATACGTACATTATTTGTAAATTTCTTTAAATGTAAGTCCCAAGTACATATGTACATTTATTTTTATCAATCTCTTCTGTATATTTCCAGGAAAAATTTTCTTGCGTTACGAAAGAAGGATAAATACACCAATTTATCTAGTCGACCATATTGTATAGTCCAGAGGGGGTGCATTTAGAGAGATCTCTCTATGTAGGTAATTATTTTCGAATCAGAGGGTCGAAAATTCACCTTATAAATCCTACATTTGAAAATACCAACCGGTTACCGATTATTTATGAAAGTAGGATAATACTTAACGAACAAAACCAGTCACTTGCAGATTTGAACAAATTATTGACGTTAGATATTAGACCCATATCTGCAGATAAAATAATTTGATCAAATAATACCTTCTCATGAAATAATTTATCATGAACTAAAACTTGTAGATCTATGATTTGCACCGGAGGCAATTTGAGGATTAAAATTTGATTTATATCCGGATACCATCTATATATCTCGAAAAATAATATCTTTATGTTTTGATAAATATATAATTGGTGTAAAGCATTGAAGACTGGCAAAGTTGACAAAAAATGTACACCGAGCAGTGTTGTACATTTTGACTGTCCTGACCTTTTGGCCTTCTCCCGTACCAGAACGTCCCAACTTGTACCATCAATTTCTCAATTTTTTTTTTGATTTGAAAAGCAATAATAAAAAATATGTAAAATTAAATTTTAAACAGTTTTGCTTAATAATTGAAAGAAAAATGTCTTAATAAAAGTTTGAGTTATTTTTTTAAAACCTCAAATTCATCCCAAATCCGTCCTACGTAGTTTTGTTCCAACTGTCCCGTGTGCAACACTGACACCTCTATAAATACATTTATGGTATATAGTTAACATATAACTTTTAAAATTAAGCTTATACAGTATGAGACAATAAAATCGGATTACTATATGTTAATTCTACAGATGTTCATTGGTAGCTTATTCTTGTAATCAACACTAGGGTACGTATTAGGTACGTACGATGTGGCGGATTATGGGGATTATGGTCTGATTGATCCGCAGATACAACCCCAAAGTTCTGATCACATGATGTTCCATAGCTGTAACATACTCCTGTGATAATTCATAAAAATTACAGTTCATTAGAATTTATTATAGAATCGAACGTACTTTCCTTCATATTTTATGTACTGAAATTTCTGAGTCGATAGAAGGGCATAAAATACTTATTCATTTCCCGGTCATGCATCCTAATTTCCCGAAGTCCACTTTCCCAAAGTATTATTTCTCTGGCCCATAATACCAACGACCTTATTTTCTGACAAAACATAATTCTGACAGCACATTTTGCCGATAAAAGTTTTCATCGAATGGTTTTTTTTTTTTTTTTTGAACAAACTAATTTTCTGAAAATTTGATTCTTCGACAAAAGTTTTCATCGAATGGTTTTTTTTTGAACAAACTAATTTTCTGAAAATTCGATTCTTCGACGAATTATAATAATAGTCTATAGTTTTTTGGTTCAGAGAAATGGTCTCATATAATGACTTGTCTGAAAATTTGTTATCAATTAAATGACATTTCGGGAAAATACCAAATTATGTCTTGTCAACAAAACGGATTATCAATATTATGGCTTCGGCGAAATGGTATTTCAGAAAAATAGATTCAGGAAGTTAATCCGCAACCTAATAATTATATCGTCATATAATATTTATTAGTAAGTGCTTAAAGTCGTAAACGTTTGCAAATAGAAATTTTCATTAATTTGAAATTACTTAACCCAAGTCGATTTTAAAATCCAACTCAAAGCAAATGACATCATTGATATTCATATAGGGATGGGAAGTTTGGTTTGGTTTGTTTTGGTTTAATATAATGCAGATCCTGCATCAATCAAATCTAAATCAAATCAAACTTAAACTAAATCAACTTCCGCCATCCCTTGCATCGTTTCATGTTTATAAGCGAATTTAAATCAAACTTAAACTAAATCAAACTCCCCATCCCTTGCATCGTTTCATGTTTATAAGGTATCAAATTTAAATCAAACTTAAACTAAATCAAACTTCCCATCCCTTGCATCATTTCATGTTTATAAGTTTTCAGGTCGTAAAAAAAAAACAAATTTTGATCGATCTAAGTCGAATTAATGTGAGTCGTGATAACTTTTAGAAAAATCCAAACTTTAATTATTCGCGAGAACCAATCAGAAAACACAAATACTTCATTTTTATCCAACACGACCAGGGCAGTCATCAAAATTACAGGTTGCGTGATAAAACGCCACTGCGCAGCTGCATGCATTCGGATCGTTTATTTTGGCCAATGAGGAAGCTTGTTCATAAATAAAGTTAGATATTATGGCCCAAACATGTGACCCATAATTCGATGGCCGCCCTGGTCGTGCCTTTTTATCCTTTGCAATCGTAGGCAAATTTGCTTGCACGTAGCGATGGGAGTTTTTAATTGTCTAACAATTAATAATTAAATTATCCAAATGCATAGAAAGTATCAATAGAATGTGTAATCAGCGAATTAAACATATTTTCTAATGCCGTATGTCACTGCTTACAGTACCAGAGGTCTTTTTTCAAGAATTCCATTTTTAAAATTGAATAGTACCCATGGGTACTGTGTGAAAAACCGGTACTATATCTGGGATATATGATATTAAAAGTCCCCGGGTCTTATTCGAGAAATAGGTTGGTGAGTAATGCTGTAATACCCGGGTTTTAATCATGGGGTATTATTTTTTGGGGGTTACTGTGAGCTGTAGCATACGGCATTTTTTATGTACTCTAATATAAAAATGATTTTGTGGCGATAAAAAATTATCAGAACCTTCCATTACAGCTTTTAATTGTGTAATCAACGATTTTATAGAAAATTCCAATAAACCTCGATTGGATCATGTTCTATGCATATTGGATAATTCATTATTAATTGCTAATAAATTATTGTAACTTATTAATTAAAATTTAATTTTTTAATTGTTAACAATTCATAATTAATAACTAGAAATCCCAATCGCTATCTGCATGCAGATATCCAATTATTTTAGCTGAAAAATCACGTTTTTATCTCGATGTACGAAAAACCTTACGTATATTAAAGGTTGTGAAAAATAATTTGTTAAGTTCCGATCTTAAATTACGTTGACGTTTGCACCTTTAACATGAAGGGCTTGAAAAATAAGTGAAAAATTAAAAGGACGAAAAGGTCAAGTATTGCCAAAAGTTACAAAGTTTGCGAGTGGGTGATACGGTCTGCTTATCATGCTAAATTAGTGTCCAGACTCGTGCAAGTTAAATTGCATTTTTATGCGATATATAAGAAATTTTGACCATGCAAATAAAAATTAGGGGGAATAAATATATTTATATTGATTGATTTCTATTTAATATAGTCGTATAAAATCAACAAATAATTGTCGAAAGAAATTACTACGCCCAAGCCGTAATTGTTAATCAAAAATTTACATACGTTATATTATGTGCATTATGTTGATATTAATCAATATTGCTATTTGTACATACAAATATCGCACTAGTTACATCAAAATAGATAAACTTATTAACGCATTTCATGTAATTGCACAAGTCTGGACACTCTATATATCCTGATCATACGATTTATATGCAATCTGCTACAAAAAATGCAGGACATTATTAATTGGTTAGAGAAAACAATAACCAAACGGTAATTTTTTCGTCGACTTTGTCGATCAGGAGTCGGTTAAGTTGGCCAAGTCGATTAGCCCAAATAATCCCGATTGGTATTTCTTTTTTAGGAAATGCGCTAAAATCTTGTACGTACATACGCAAATAAAGCTACAGTGCTTTATCGCGGTGTTATCGCGAGATTTTGATGAATTTGGAACAATATGATCATGTATTACTTGTTAATTATTTACATAACTTTACTGATTAAAGATTAATAAATTAATGGGACAAAGTTGGGACAGGGAAAAAAGGCTCGGGGCAGTCAAAGTGTACAACGCTTGGCAGAGGCATGGGAAAATTTGGATAAACCCAATTTTTAATATTCGAAATTGTAAGAAAAAATTTATACATCAAAATTTATTATTTGCATTGATTGTGGTATGTCAACTTCAACTCATGCTTTAAATAGCTATTTTTGCTGTCAATACCATTAAAGATGACAGCATTGTTATCGGGAGGTTTTAGGTAGGCTTCACACTTATTTTGGCCTTTTATACGTGGGTAATAAAGTCTTGCATTTAATTGGCGCTGTGGTTGCATAAAGTTTTCTAAATCAAAAGTGTAGTGCTTCGAAAACTCCCGTGCAAGCTGTTACTTTTTTAGTGGTGCCTTTCTTTTTTTTTTTTTTTTTTTTTT